CAATCAGTTATAGATCAGACCCTACATATCCCACTTAAGATTCGCTAAATATTTCAAGGAATACTTGAATTTAATACCCTTCATAACATTTTTTTAAATTCTTTTGTAAGAATCTCCATTAGATTCCATCCCATCCCATTCCATTCCGTTCCGGTTTTTGGCATTCCGTTCTGATTCCGTTTGCCATTTGATTTTGCCGTTAGACGCCAACTACAAATGTGGCCAAAAGCAATTTGAAAGCAAACGACAAAGAAATTTGTATCAAATTTCTAACATAACATGATTTCACGGCGACAAATGCTCCGATCCAATCCGATCCGCTCCGCTCCGTTCCAATCTGTTCCATTTCCACGCTGTGCTGACCAACTTGCTCATAATGATCACAATGATCACAATGATCGCTATGTGGCAACATCATTATTAGCGTCATCAAGCAGAAATAGAAAGAAGAAATTGCCGCAGATCTCAAATAAGGCTTATCGAGAAGAGCGGGTCTTACAAGTCTTTAGTCAGTCGAGAATTAGGCATCTGTCTCCCTCGCTTTTCTGCTTATATAGAAAGAAAAGAGAAATGCTATAGCAGATTGTGAACCCAGAATCGGAATCGAAGCGATCATAAGTTCTATCGAAATTTCGCCAGTTGTTAGGCATTTAACAAAGTTTTCTAATGAAGTTGAGGGAAATTCAAGAGTTGTTAAGGGGAAACATCCCAGGCGACATGTGGCTGCCTCATTAAAGCAGCTGAAACTTGGGTTAATCAGGCAAATGCCGCAGTCCCAAGTCGCCAGTCAATCAGGAACATCAGCGACCACGGACAAACTGAGAAATTGAGAATGTCTACCCCTCTCTGGGAGAAAAGAGGTGGCGAGGTGGTGGAGAGTTGGAGACAACGAGGGAAGGCGAAGACAAACCGGTCAAAATTAACCTACTTAAGAGTGGAGGCCAACTGCGGATGACTTGGCTTCGACTTCGGCCAGCTGCCGTCTTTTTTTTTTGGGCCTCCGAAGCCTTTCTTAGTTGCCTAAAACAAAAACAGAAAAGCAAATCTGCGGTACGTGCCATGTAAAATCAGATGAAGAGTGGCAGGCCAGGAGAAGAAAGGCGGGAAAGGCGGGAAAAGCTGAAAAAAAATAGGGGAAAAATAACCAAAAGGAGTCAAAGCCAAAAACCAAGTCAAATGTCGCACGCGATGTTAAATCGCCCACCGAAAGACACGCCCACTTTCAATCGCTCTATCGTCGAAACAATCTGTTAACGATTTTCTCCACAAGAAAGGAAGTGGGAAAACCATAAACTTACGTTTCCAGTTTAATGGCAATGTTCTAAGCGATATAATTATAAATATTATAAGTGAACCAACGAAAAAAATGTTAAGTACATGTTGCTACATTCTCCCAGTGAAGAAATTTAAATGCGCCCGTGAGTTTTTCCCGTGAAAAGCAATTGCGGAATTTTCTTTGGGCCTCATTTCGAGGCTAACCGCAAAAAAGGAAAATTGAAAAACACAAAAATTCGCTGGTCGGGGAAAATGTGGCGATGAAAATTCAACCGCAATCAAAGTCAGCGGAAAACTTCATCAACGGCGATTCGGAGACTCGTGGGGAGAAGGAGGAGTAGGCGAGAATCCCCGCAGCAACATGCAACATGCACCGCAGCAACATCTTGGCCACATCCGAAGGCGACTGCCCAGTGAGCCAGGTTAATTGATTATCGCTGGCGTCGCAGGCAATTTGGCCCAAACCCCTTCTTGCCTCCTTCTCCCCCCCTTATTAGCCCCCTTTATCTGGTTCTCTTTATGTGCGAGTGACCGCAATGACAAGCGTCACGAGATCAAAGCATAAAAACCAAATTAGAAGCAACTGGCCATCGGCAACTCCGAGCTCCGAATCCTCCGAGGGCACGAACTCGTGAGTCACGTGTCACTGTGAAAAATATAGCAAATTTTAAATATTTTAAATAGTTAAAGTAAAAAGTAAAGTAAGAGTAAATAGATGTAGAAGAAATTTTTCAAATCGGATCATTCATTTATAAGTTATGAGCAAATAAAGATGTAAAAATTCAAGCAGTGCAAGCAGTCGCTTTACTGCTCTCGCACTTTCTTTGGCTGAGTACTCTCCCTTGTTCTTAAACTACTTCTTTTTTTCCGCTGTGCAGCGTAAGTGCAAAGCTCTATTTATGACCCCTAAAGAATACCCCTAAAACCCGGCGAGGAATCCATGTTGCTGCTGTGATGTTGCTGTTGTACTTGCCTAACAAGATTTGTGTGCCATTTTGCTGCCGCTTTTGGTAGCACCTTTTGGCCAAGGTCTGTTGGCCAGCCAGCCAGCACCACCAGTTGGCCAGCTTTTCGTGTCTGATCTGGTCTGTGACAGCAGCAGTGGAAGCAGCAGCAGTAGAAGCAGTAGGAGCAACACCAACTAGCAACTCCTTAGGAACAAGAAAGCCGCTTCGAAAATCAAGTGATTACTGTCTGGCATCACGAGTAATGAAACGTGACTCAAATCGCAGTTAAACACCCAAACCGAACCGAACTGAACCGAACCGAACCGGAGGAGCCAGAAGATATGCAGCCTACTATATAGGCATAGGTATATCTCTATGTATACCACGCCAGCCCATCACACACGCAAACGCCAAAGGAACGAGGTAAAACAACAATTAGAACAAGCCAAAACAACCAAACGAACAACCGAACAACGAACAACCAACAACCGAACAACCAAAAGATCGCACAAGCGATCCCCAAGGAGAAGTTTAGTCTGTCGGAGGAGCTCTGGATTCTGGACTCTAGATTCTGGGGTCCACATCCACATCCACATCCACATCCACATCATCAATGTCCCGGGCATGTCAGCCATTTGGGTAATGTCGTCGCTGCTCGAATTTAATGGCCAAAAAAATCAAAAGCAGCTGAAAACACAAGGCGAGAATAGAGGGACCTGGAAGAAAGACATCGATTGGACAACACAGCCAACACAAAGATCCCAAACCGAACCCGAACCCCTGGGGAATTTCAGTAAAGATCTGGAGCAGAATGACTCGGTCCTTGAAATATATTCATTTGGCATAAACGTCTAAAGATATTAAGATAATGGTTTTCTATTTATAGTTTGGTTTCTTCGGAGTGAAGCAGTGAGTGTGTTAAAAGTTCACAGGGTTTTCTAAATAAGATTTATGGTCTCGGATTTAATAGCTCTCTACTGGCTGCTAAGTGAACACAAATGTAACTTAACTATTATATAAAAATAGTTAAGAATTATAAAAAATTTCTAGTTATGATTTAAGTTCCATTTCCCACAAAGAAATGCATTCTTCATAAACTTAATTCAGATAATCTCTTCCCGTACAACTCATCTTCATCTTACCTACATGTTCTTAACTTCCTAACCCTATCGCCGCCATTGCAATTATGTGAAGGACTTGGAGTGTAATTGAATTGATTAGAATGGATAAAAAGAACCTTCTAAGCATCTAGCCATCTAACCATCTGGCCATATCCATATCCGTTGTGTGTGACCATTAAATCTTGCCGAGATTTGCATACACACACGTGAGGGCCGAACAAAAGAAGATCCATCTGCGGGCCGCAAATGCAAATCTCCGTTGCCCAGAAGACGCCTCTTCGCAGCTCAGCCCTTTCTCCATTTGTGCTGCTCTGTTTACTCAAGCAAAGATGACACTGCAAACAGAACAGAAGAGAGCAGAACAGAAAAAAAATGGCAATCTGCATCTTGAAGATACGACTTATAGAGGGGGCAGAGATCTCTGGGAATGCGACACGACTTGGTGTTTGAAATATTTCACTTTTGGCTAGCGCCCTGCCCACAGAAGAAGAAGAGAAAAAAAAAGAAAAGACAATGGACCTGGCCTTCTGGACACTTGGCTTATTCTTCTCTTACCCGCTCCTCGGATAATACATGACATTAGACAAAGTCGGAGGCCTCAAAATGGAAAATTGCCATGCATAACATATTTTTCTTTTCTTGGCCCTGCTCTTTTTTTTCTTTTCTTTTGGTTTGGTTTATTATAAAGACTTGCAAAGTGGCCAAAAGACTGCTGGCCAGAGGGAGACTTTCCTGGACCGCAATTTATGCAGAGCGAACGCAATTCAGTTTCAGTTTTTTTCTTTTTTTTTCTTCCCTCTGATTTAACAATCGAAAAAGTGGTAAAAAAAAAAGAAGAAGATGAAGAAGAAAAAGGTTATGGATGAGCTGCGACTTACCGTTAGAACTGAATAGATATTGGACTTGGCGTAGAAAAGTGCAGCAAACCACAAAAGTTTAGTGTGATCTACGAGCTTCGATCGGTGGCTTTTGATTAGATCACAAGATTGATGGGCTTTGTTTATAGAGATGAGTCTGGGGATAAATGGGCGAGGATTATGATTGCCCGGGGAACCACAAGAAGTAATTTAAAACGGTGAGAAAGCAAACAACTCCAGATATACCAAATACTTAAGTACTTCAGTTCTAATCGCTTTCTTTAAAGGCTCTTTTTAAAAAGCTAATTATGGGGATCCTAACTTTTAAGGTCACCCTAATAAGCATGATTTATGCTAAGTACCTAACTTTCACTCATTTCCCCATTTACTCTCGGCTCTTTTCTAAATATGATCTTTCTTTCCGCCAACTAAATTTCTGCCTTCTGCATTTTTATCTCTGTGTCACGGTCAGAGAAAATAAATACTTTTTCTGCTCTTTTTTCGTGTCTACCCTCATGAGCAACCTGAATACCAAGTATACGCCCCTTAAACGTGTAAAAAAAAGCGTCTCGTGCGTCACTTATGTTAAATGTAACGGTTATTGAAGCCGATGCGGGTTTTTATTTGTATATTAGTTTGATAGCCTTTTTTATGGTACTTTTTTTAAGCACCTTTAAAATAAGGCAAAAAGAAGTGCCTTCTTTTGGTTCATTTATCAAAATTATTTTCTATTTTCTATTGTTTACCCTAACAAGTCACATACAAATTTGCTCATTATTATTTTCTGTTTGTACTTTCAGAAGAAGACGCGTCTTCAGCCAAGAAGAAATCGAAAGCAAATCAGGTAAGCAAAAATTCCATTTCGTTTAAGGGTTTTGCTTTCGTTTCGTCGTTTATTTTAATTAGTCTGATGATTTCTATATTTTTTTGGGGCCGCCTTCTCTCATTCTTTTCGTTTTTACTATTCTTGTTGATTGATTTATGATAGCCAGTTGTTGTGGTTGTTTTCTTTTTTTTTGCGAGGCGTGAGGCGCGTTTGAACCATAAAAAACGAAGAACAACGAAAAGAGGTCCATGGGAAAATGCCAAAAAGGGGGAGGGGGTGTATTGTGGCTTGTTATGAGTTGGGGGCGGGAGGAGGGGCAGGCCATTAGCAGCAACACGACTTCTGCTTCTGCCCCGCCTCCTTTGCCGCCCCCCAAAGTTCTCGCTTTCACCGAATTCATTTTATTTTATTTATTGAATTCTCTGCATGTCAGGCACGTTTTCACGAATCGAAACGAAACATGCATGTCGGTATATCTATTGTACACATATGTATATAGATTATACACAGGAAAAGATTTTGTTAAGCTAAAAAAAATAAAATTTAACAAAAAAATGTAACAAAAACATTTAACCAAAGTAAATTTTATAGACCATTAATTCAAAAAATTAAAAAATATATGTAGATTTCATTAACAAAATATAATAATCATAAATAAAATATATATTTTTTGTAATTTTTTTTTCGACTTATGCTTGTAAAGGCAGGCCCAAAGTCAAGAATTCCGACAAAAGTGATAACTAAAATGGGCGGAGGGCGATTGTCATTGTCCATTGCTTCCTTTTCTACCATTTTTGCTGCCTGCCTATTGCCAATTGTTGGTGTTGTGTTTGGCCATATCCATTTGGCATATATGTTATGACAACAACAATGGCTGCAATAGGTACAGTGGCATGGGTTTCGTTTCTTTGTGGTTAAAATAATAGTATTAGAATTAAAACTTGTTATTCCAAATTTAACTAACATTCTGGGGTGTTAAATAAATAAATAATAAATATGGGGGATCAGTTTTAAAGGTTTTTTTGCTTCATATATTTCTATAGTTTTTAGTTGAAAATTTTTGTCTTAGGAAGCACTGTGACCACGAAGTCACAGCTCTTGGAGATCGCAGTCACATGTCGGCTTGCCACGATCTCGGCTTCTCCTCCCCCTTTCCACTTTCCACTTCCCAGTGCCCACTTCCCACTTTCCACCACCTCTGTCCACATGCACATCCCATGTCCCATGTCCCAGCCCCACCGAAATCCAAATTCAAGTCCAAGTCCAAGTCAGAAGAGCCTGAGTGGCATGTGAATGAGGTGGTTTCTCGGTTGGAAATTTGGTACACAGGTCTTCTTCTGTGGGCCAGATTGTCTTAGGTCGTGCCAAGAGCGATGCGCATAATAAATTTTTGCTTCTCGACTTCCAGCCAAAAGAAATGAAAATGAAAAGTTCTCAAGCGACAAATGTGGGGGAAAAAAAACAGAGTTGAAGCTGAAACCTTTTGACAAGGCACGTAGTCGTGAGAAGGGGGGAAATCGGTGGAAAATCGTGGAAAAGGGGGCGGGGGCTATTGGCACTGCACCGTGCATAATGAGCATTTTCGGGTTAGGTCGCTCCACATTCGAGTGACAAACAACAAAAAAAAAAGTGAACGAAAATACAAAGACAAGAAGTCGGAAAATTTAGTTGCCAATTAGCACAAAAACGAAAAGCAAATAGTTGAGGTGAAAATATTTGAAACTAGAGCAGCAAAAGTAAAGTGTTTAGGATATCGATGACAGAAACAGATCGATTGGCAGTTGATTGGTGAAAAAGAGAAACTATGGAAAGATACGATAACAGCATTTCCTGTTTATCACTTTCCTGCATTTTACTAAAAAAAAAACGTTAAAAACGTTTAATTAGATCAAGAAACTGAACTGTATATCGAAATAATCGTATATCGAACAGATGGTCAGTCAAAAATTTCTAAGAGCGAGTCAAAACGCTGTAAACAAATTACAAGCATAGAAATTCTACGATAGGGAATAAATGTTATATGAGTGGCCAAGTGTAAAAGTAAGTGCTCGAAATAAAATAAAAAATCGATAATGGCTCGTTAAATCGAGCGTTTAATGAGACCATCTCCAGCGTAAGCATCGTATTATAAATCTAACCGCAAGGCTGGAGAAATTACAGGTAGTAAACATGGCGAACTTGGAATGAAAGGTAGCAAATGAAACTGCAGATTTATGGTTTACACATTAAACGAGTCGAGTTTGAGTTCGAGTCCCGGTTAAGCATCCACATCCACATCCACATCCAGTTGTCTAAGTAGTGTAGTCGCTCTTCAATTGGTGTCTGCGAACAGCTTTGTGGCACCTATAACCGATTAATGCCTGGCATAAATACGCGAGATTCCATTCTCATCATTATGATTACCAGCGGCATAAAAAGCGAGTCGAGAAGGAAACCGAACCGAACCGAGAAACCGCATAAACTCATTTTCTCATTTGAGCAGGAGAAGAAGAAGTGACAATCGAGACATGCAGAGAGAAAAAACAGGTCATTCCGGACGATATAAAAATAGTTGAATGCCGCAATAACTCAATTTTAATATCATAAAATAGTTAATATAATTTTTAGAAAATAAACTTTGTTATTAGATCTCATACAATCATTAAAATATATACAAAAAATCATGTTCTGTGTAGTTAGCAGAGAAAAGGCACAGGAGAGAGGGAAAGAAAGATGGCTTGGGAACTGGTTTCAGTTTGATTCAGCCGACTTCCCAAACACCTCAGCTCAGCTCCTCAAACTCCAACTCAAACTCAAGTGGGAAAAGGAACCGGGGGCAGCAAGTGTCCAAGATCGGTGGACCCAAGTGGACCCAGCCAAATGGAATATCCGCCTGACCCACATCCAATTGCAGCGGCATTTGAACGGATTTGCATGCCCCAGTCGCAGAGATTGCAACTGGCTCCCAAAACCGAAACCCAAACCAAAACCCAAACTAAAACCGAATTCGCCACTGGCGACGTGTCTGTATGTACGATTAAGTATATGTGTGTTGGCCAGAACTTGGCCTACTTCCATGTGACCGCTTTCCCGACTCGGTCTCGGGCTCCCACTTCTCGATCCGATCCCAGCATTCGAGACTCACCAACCTCGCTTACTTCTCCAATTGAGTGTGATTTGGCGGAAGAACCTGGTAGCAGGGGGAAGAAGGGGTAACAACGCACTTTCCCAATCCAAACCAAACAGCGCACATCCAATCACATCCAAGCTATTCGACACCTGAGCGAAAAGTGGAAAAGTTTCACCCAGGCAGAACAAATTATCGCCGATTGTTTGATCGATCCCATGGGACAGACGGTGGATGATGGCATTAGGAAGTGGAAGAGACATCCACTCCAGATAATCGACGATTAATTCGATAGACCAAGGAATTGTTAAAGGGATCTTTAATATATTGCATGTCATGTTCATTTAATCACATATGAAATACTAAAAAGTGGGGAAATAGTGATTTTTTGCCATCGATCAATAAGAAAGTTTAAAAAATATGGTCGATTATTTCGATAGGTCTTTGGATATTTCACTGTCAAAAGAAATCATATTTTGTAAATGGCATATTAAAAACTATGAAGTCATTAAAATATCAAAAGGAAAGTTTTATAATATTTTGAAATATTTATTTTAGAAATTATTAAGTATCGAAAATTCGATTGAAGATAACTACATACTATAATAAATAATATGTCCAAGTCATGGTATTTTTCGTTTATCTCTCCTATGAATAACAATGAAAGTAGCGAGGAAAGGCAAAGATTGCGGCAAAGATAGAGTCGTCAAAGAAGGGGTCAATTACTGGGGAGGTATACCAGCGTAGGGCAGGCATCATCATTAGCACTCATCGCATATCTCATGGCTGAAAGGAAAACATGGCCAAAACTAATCCAATGGATTTGGCCACGCACCAGAAGAAAAGAGTGGGCAGAAAATGGGAGGTGGTGCTATCTTCTTGTCTTCTTTAGATCTTTTTTTTTTAGTTTTTTAGGCGTATAACAAGCCGTAACTAAATCGACAAAATCGGCTAATGCGACAGACGTGGGGTCCATTTGGAATATAATGGGCCCAGGTTGCCATTGTTGGCATTCCAATGCGTTTTTTGTGTGGCTGATGTTGCAATGTTGCTGATGTTGCAGCCAGCAATTGAGCGTCATTAACATGCAACCAAGCGAGAGAGATGGGATAAGGCTACACGGGGAAAAAAAAATGGCCATTGCTAGAAGTAGAATATTTTTAACTTAGAATTAAATGTATTTCCGGGAACTACTGCTTCGGAAATATATTTTATGCCACTTTTTCAAGTTGAATTAATTTTTCTAAACTTTATTTTTTTTCGTGTAGCAAAAGACTAGAGAGAGAAGTGAATTGAGCAAACAGCATTATCGTTTGATCATCTCCAGTGGGTTGAGGGCCGTCTAATGACAGTGCCGGGCCACGCCCCCTGCCACGCCCCTTGGCAAATCCGCCTCCTCCCAATCCTTTGATCATCTCCTCTAAGTACGTGCGTTGTACTGCCTTCTTGTTGTTTTTCTGTGTGGGTTCAATGCGGAGGGTTGCGACCTTTTGGCCATCTGGCAGTTTTAAATTTTGAGCATTCAAATTGCGGATAGGATAGTGAAGTAGTATTGAGCCCCCGCCCCTCGCTTCTCAATCGCTCATTCAACTGACAGTTAACCAGGTCAACTAACGGCGAACGTCCGCAAGCTGTTAAAGCCAACTTAAACAAATAGCACTTCCCCCGTTCCCCGATTTTCTCTATATTCCATATTCTGTAGTCTGTATTCTGTATTCTGTAAGCCCGCATCTTCTCGTTTGGCTTGTTTATCTAGCAATGCCGCTTCCTCTTCCACTTCAACTTCTTCTCACCTGCTACGCACAAATTTGCATTCGACTTTCTTTCAATTTCAATTTGTTTGCGCATTTCATTTGAGAGCAGCGCTGCCATCTAATTGGTCCAATAATAGCCTATAATTGTTGGAAAAATG